ATATATATTCATGATATTACAGTATTCATTTTTCCCCAATTTTGGAGCGCGTTGATCAAAACAAACTCGCTAAATGCCCATAAAATACGCTTATTATGTCAAAATATACATTATATAAGAATATATGGACACCTAATTTACGGTCTGAACAAATCATGATATAACTTCATCAGTATGTTGTAAGAAGGGTGTTCTCATAAAATTGACCTCTAGAGTTCATTGGCTATCGCCTCTGGTTTATAAATACATTAATCCGGTCGTCAACTTAGCTTCATATTACATATTATATGTATCATAGAATTTCACACCACCACCTAGTTTGTTTCAACCCAGTTCTATTGTTAAGTAATTTTATTCTTATTTATAATATTAAAGAAAGTTCATACAATGATATAGAGAGATAGCAATTTCAGAAAACCTCTCTTTGGGTGATTTTAGTGAAGTATCTTTAACTCCCATTTCTAGTGACCTTTGTTGCCGTCGAATCCCTGATAGAGAAACTCACGCGGAGCAAGCGTGGGTTTTATCACACTACGTTAAGAAACAGAGACATCTCGAAATGACCAGCAAGAGAGAGAAAAGAAAGAAAGAAAAATGAAAACTGGAGAACATGAGCCATTCCCCCAGCGATAATTCTCTTACCAAATGATTGTACGTAGCGCTCGTTTGCTCTCATTGGGATGCTTCTAGCTCCTCCCCGTTTCCTGCTTAGACCTCTCCCCACCCGCTGGACACAAAACTGAGCGGCCTGACAAGACGTCCCAGTCAGTGTTCGGATGCGGTGCGACAATGACGACCACCACTACAGGCTTCGACCGCGCTCTGCAGCATCTGGTAGTTAATTACAGATGGGTGTTCGCGTCATTCTTTCTTTTGCCGTTGTCTTTCTTGTATGAAGTGTGGTCGTATGCACGCAACTGGTTGGTCTTCAAACTTAATACCGCACCGAAACAACATAACAAGAAAGTTCAATATGTGCAACGTCAGGTAAGAATTGGCAAGTCTTACAGTGCGTTACAACTACAATTAATTGTATTTTTTAAATGATGTGCATATATGTAGTACAGGAAATGTCCCCAATCTATCGGTTTTGTGTGTTATCCAATATAAGCGGACAAAAAACGAATAATTTTATTGTTAGTGTGTGTCTCAAACACTATTATCAACACATACCTGTATACATTCTATCCCATTATATCTCATTGGACCTATTTACCCTTTTCGTATGTAGTGCATAATCTTTGTATTAATTACATAACTTATATATGAGTACTTTACCTGGTTACAAGTTTTTCCGATCTATGAAGATTCCTTTATGTTATGACTTTCAAAGGATTTTTGGGCAGAAATGTAATATTTTCTGATCATGTACATTTCTAGAAGAAATAATTTTACTATTTTCCATAAAAAAACAAATTTATCAAGAAATGAATAGTTCGTATCAATTTAATTGACAAGAGTAGAAAGTTATTTTATAACTAATATTGGCAAGTTATAAACAATATTAGTCTGTAACACAAATTTTACAACAGTTAGGAAAGCTCTGTGAGATCATCAATATTAAGAATCATAATCGTGCGGAATGGTAATCGTTCCATTTTTACTTCAATTGAGTTTATTTGGAGTATCTAAACACAAACTAAGAGAAATATTCCTATGAAAAATATTCATGTGACTAATTCTCATAAACGATTTTTTTGGCTAGGTAAAATACACCACAACGTTCAACCAAAACGGTTTTAAATTACGTTTGTTTCTTTGAACAGAGAGTTTATTTTTCCAGCAAATTCTGGAGTTAACGCTATCCATTAAAAGGCAGATGTTTCCTGCGCAAGATGAGGATGTACTCGTATCATGGTCTATCTTTGGGCAAGTGGAGTTGTGCTAATCTTTTCATTCAATTGCCAGGGCCATTATTTCATCTAATTCGAATCGACGTTGAATTGACTGCACTAATGGCACAAACGAAAAATATCGAAGGTTATATAAGTGATGTTTTGATCATTTATTTAACCAATGTATTAAATATTCTTTAATATGTACATAATTTTGTTTATTTCAACATACGTGACATTACTACATAAAATGCTTGAATATGGTCATAATTATTATTCAAACTGCAGAGAAAAACTAGAAGCTCAATTTTTGATTTTCAACTTCTTTTGGAAATTGTCTTCGAAATCTATTATCGATGAATATAGAAAAAAATTATTGTAATTGACACTTCTAAACGTTAGATTTAGAAAACCTCTATATTCCGTTTTGACAGTTTGTATAATGGTTCAGAAGTGACGCAAGTGTCAACCAGCAAGTATTTGAACACCCATGACAAAAGATCGGATTGCAAAAAAAGAAGAAACATCATTTGATGATATAAGCTGCTACGGCTTTGAAAACTGAAAGTGATCTAGTAACTATCGATCGCTATTTAAAGCTCTCCAAACGGTTGTTTTAGGCGCTTTGCAATCTATTGTTTACAATAAACTATTGAGTAGTAAAAAATAAACACAAACTATGTATGGCAATAAAAGAAATCAGTTTAGTATATTAATTGATGCTGCCAAAATACTGCGCGTCAGTTATTTGTATTACAGTTCATAATCTCTCGTTGGGCAAATTAAAAAGAAATTGGAAACAATCTTTGATGATTTATTTACTTGCTTTCTGTATAATTCCAATCCCATCTTGTTCGGGATCATCTTCAGGCAGGCATTTACAATTCTATTGTGTTCAAAAACATTTTATTTTTAATTTAATCATTTACATGGAAGCAGCATCGTACATTGCCAACTTTTTAAACGCAATATATATTTGTAATCATGGCTGCCTAAGGAGGGTCCCGAACGAGAAGGGACTGAAACGTTTCAACGAACAAATGCATAAATAATTATTACCAATGTACCAATTTTACAAAAAAAGAGACTCTTATTTACATAATACAAATTTATTTTACCGATGCAATCCTAGTTAAAGATGATTTAGAAAATTTAGTTCTTCGGAAAATTACTAGTAATTACTATGATTAAATTTGAAAAAATCCCTTTCAAAACATGAGGTTTTAAATAGTTTTTGTAAAATGGAAAATGGTTTTGTGAAAATTGCAACACCAAAAAGGGGACATACTATTACAATGAAATTTATTCCACAGGAATAACACAAATACAAATAAATAACTGTACCTGCATTTTGACCTTGAGTCAAACTTATTAAGTCTTTTAAAAACATATACAATACAAATGTAAACTAATTCAATATATCACTGTTTTGTTAAAATAAATATTATTTTTCATTTTGATGATCAATATAGTCTCTAACTGTGCATTACGCCCATTCGCATTACGCCCTGAGGAAGGTCGCAGAATGGCGACCGAAACGTCGGTACCTTCGCCATGGACGCGGCGACACCCGGACAGCCTAGTAAATACGGTATTTCTACTCTTTGAGATCGATGTTTAAGGTACGAGGTTATCCAAGCTAGGATTCCATAAGGAGGAAATTTTGATAGCAAATTGTTATGGTCAATAACGTCAAAGGCTTTCGAAAGATCTAAAAGTATTCCAATGAGTGCTTCATTTTAGTCTATTGATGAAGTAACATCTTAAAGAAAAGAAAAAATGGCAGTTTCTGTAGAGTTTGATTGTATAAAACCGTGTTGTGATTCTGAAAAGGCTTCGTTTTTTCTGAGAAAAGTTTCCATTCGCGTATAGAAAAGCCTCTCTAATATTTTTGAGAAACTTGACAAAAGAGAAATTGGCCAGTAATTTTGGATTTTAATTTTTGTTCCCTCTTTTAAAAAATGGCTTAATTTTTGCTGTTTTGAAAATATCTGGAAATATTCTTGTACTTAAAGAACTATTGAAAATTTGAATTAACGAGTATACAAAAGCAGGTACACAAGTTTTCGATAAACAATCCGGAAATTCATCTAAACCAGATGAATGTTTGTTTTTTTGTTTACTATTTTCAGTATTTCGTTACAAGTTTCAGAAATAAACATCGGGTCGAAAATATTTTGGGAAGGGAATGATGTGGAATTTTGCGGTTGTAGTCCCTTCGTGAGTTCAGCCGCAATTCTATAAAAGTGTTGGTTGAAGGACTTTGACCCATTTTCTGGATTACTGGCTTCTCTTTCATTATCCTTAAGAACAATATTCTCTACTAAGTACCGAGATGATGTGGTCGTATTTTTGTTATTAAACATTGGTTTAGTTTTGTTACTAGCGTTCAAAATATCCTGATTATTTTTCCTTATTTATGCCTGAACTATTATTTTTCTTAAAATTCTTTTGTATTCTCGGAAGTAGACATGGAAACTGGGTGATGTGTTCTGATGTTTAGAAATAAAGTAAAGCGTACGTTTGTATTTACACAATGTTCTAATTCCTTGTGTGATCCAAGTATTATTTTTCCCTGAACTGTTTAATTTCCTTTTCTTGAGAGGAAAACACTATCCAAAAATATAATTTAATCAAAAACAATGAAGCCGTTGTTTTTTTAATTTTGAAAATGTCCCAAAATGCTTCATGTTAAGTACCCTTTAAAAGTAAAACATTTATTTCAAATTTAAGTGTCCACGACATCAACTAGATCTATTGAGGAGTATCAATTTTGGAGAAAATCGGCTGAACGGGCTAGCCGCTAGCGTTGTTCACAGAAGGACAGACAGACAGATAGAAGGACAGGCAGACGTTTTGCTGTTATTCGATTTTTCGGTTATAGGGGCCCAGAAAACATATATTCTGGCTACATCTCGCGTCATTGACAATCCCCCCCACCCCCCTAAATTTAGCAACTGGATATATGCACTTTATCGTTAACAGGGCTCGGCAATAATAGTATTTCTGCCGAACTTTTGTCACTGTTTTCGCGCAGTATTGAATTTAACTCATATTTAAAATGTCATGAACAAATAATTAAAAACGGGATATATTAATGAACGTAGTAGAAATGTTATTAGTTTCATTTACGTACCCTTCACATATGTTTTTTTGTTCTCGAAATAGGTTTTGCAAGAGATGGGTGTTGAATAAAAAAGGATTTAAAATAGTTTGGTTGTGTGTGTTACTGCTTTTCTGTGTAATGACGATTAGTTCTCGTTCAATCTGGGATACGATTTTCTTCCTTTTACTGATTATCTGAAAATATTTTTGCATGATATTTTGGAAGAAAGCAAATATTTCTAGTTACTGAATTGTTTGGGGGGGGGGGGAACTACTGTCATTATGTTTTCCCTCACGCGGATCCGCGTTTGTAACCGTCAAGATTCATTTCAGTTTGTACTGTACTGTACAGTACAGCTCTGTATGTATGTACTTGACGCGACAGCCCGTGGACGGGCTCACGCCTACGCGTCGACCCTGCCTCGCGGCCATGGGTTGAAGGGGTACGTGTAGATAGCACGTAGACATCCGCTCGCCGTATTCCGGTCTTCCGAACCTGAGAAGTAAATTTAATCATCGTCACACAGCAACATATATTAGAACGTTGCAATGTAAAAACCCACACTTGGCTCGACTGGGAATCGAAGCAATAGTGGAAAGTGAGCACGCTGACCAAGAGCTAGCCACGAGGCCGCAGTTCAGTTCTGAAATATTTAGCATTCAAGTTTTTAATACATTCGTCATGTTTTTCACTGTGGTATCCACTTGAATTTGTGCTTCACTCTTAATAGCCACTAAAAACTCCCGGAGTGAATGGTGTTCCAGAATATTTTTTGACATCCAGATGTCAAATTTAATTTTACATTACCCCATCACTCATATGACTCCATGAACATGATATTACTCGCGCTTCCCCTATTCTCCTTTAACAAAGATTGAATTAGTACCCACACTTTAGAATTATAATTTACCGCATTCTCTAAGTCAGGAACAGTTGGATTTAAACCAATTCCAGCGGTGTTGAAAATCATACTAATATTTTTCATTTGACTACATATTTGATGTTGAAAATAGTCGGTGACTCAAACTGGCGATAGGCGAGGTCAC